AGTAAATGCTCTCTCCCATCCCTCTCCTGCTCTGATCATGGGGTGTGTGTGGCCCAGTTCCCGGTGTACTTTGTTTGTAAGCATTTATTGAACACCAACTCTGTACTAGATGTTTAAATGATAATGATCATTTCTTGAGCACCTCCTGTCTTCCCCTCTCCCCTCCTGGATGCTTTAGATAATTCATCTCATTTAATGAGCAGACACTATTATCATATCCTTGACAGGGCAGCAGCGTGTTGAAGTGGGTAAGAAAGCCAGCCCCAGAGCCAGGGTGGAATCCCCACTGTTCACTAGCTATGTATCCCTGGGCGAATGCCTCAGCCTCTCTGTGCCTTGGTAGCCTTGTCTGTAACACAGGGGTAATAACATTGCCTACTTCAGGGGCAGGAGGAGTTTGTTTGTTGGGAGGAGTAAATGAGCTAATATATGCAAAAGACTTACTGAATGCACCAAATAAGCGCTCAGCAAATACTAGCTACCAATGGGGAAGCTGAGGCTGGGACCTGCCCTCCCGCCCAGGTCACACCCAGGTCAGTGTGGCTCCTGACCACTGCACTCTACCGCCTGTCTGGGAGGCTTGGCCATGGAGCTCACAGAGCCTGGGCGCTCTCTGTTTCTGGAGATCACATCCAGCTTTGGTGCTGGCTCTGCACTTTGCCGAGGCTTCAGGCAGGCGGGAACAGGGAGCTGAATTTCAGTGGTTTTGATCTGAGGTGACTTAAGTTGTATGCAGAGCTCCACATCATTCCGACTTGGGCCTGGATGTCAGGGGGTGTGGATCCCAGCACTGGAATCCCCTGACTTACCGTAGGATCCCAGGCCAGTTATTTTTCCCTCTGGACTCAGTTTCCGTGTCTGTCAAGTGGGCATAACACCTACCCTGGGTGGCTCATGTCTGCTGAGAGGAGCAAGTAAGATGTTGAGTGATTTGGAAAGCATGAAATCTAGGCAGACTTTGTGCCCATCACAGAGAAATCAGTGTAGCCTGGTAGTTAAGAACATGTTCTCAGAGTGAAGGGGGGGTGAGTCCTGGCTGGGCTGGAAGGGCAAGTCACTTCCCCAGTCTGGGCCTCAGTTTTCCCAAGTGTGAAATGGGGAGATAAGAAACACTTTATAGGGTTCTTGGGAAGAGTATGTGTGTGAAAGGCTCAAACCCAGAGAGATGATGGGTCATCACCCCCCACATGGTTATTGACCGCATCCCTGAGCTCGGTGAGTGGTTATAGCTCAGTCCCATAAGGACTAAGCAAGTCCAACCACCAGTATCAGATCCTAATGTTTGGAAAGCCCTCTGGTCTTTCCCATCCATTTTCTCGTATTAGGAAAAGCAAACAAAGGAATAAGCGTTTCAGCTTCATGGCCCATCACTCCACACCACCGTGTGGTTTCAGCTAAACAAGTTCAGACCTGGGTTTTTTTTTCCCAACTGCCCTTGGTGCTATGATCTTTTAAAGTAGACTTTGCTTAACCTCAAATCCCAAATTCAACAGTCATGGCAAGGTCTTAGCCAAGCACCGAGGTCCCTTCCTGCCCTCCCTGCTTCTTTCCACAGGCCCTATAGCAAAGGGTAAGCTGGCCGTTGATTGAATTATCTGAGCCTCCCTCTCCTGCTCCTGCCTTGGGGGTCCTAGGTTCTTTGGGTTTTATTGCTAATTCCCGGAAATGATCTCAACTCTTAAAACATATTTTCTTCTTGCATCAAATATTGAAGTGATTGATCCACTCACTCATTTGTACCCATATTCAAACGGACACCTCCCACCCTCTGTACCTCCACCTCCGTCACTTCCTCCAAGGCCACCATCTCCACCACATCCATCAAAACCATAACCTCCATGCACCTCGTCCTCCACCACCTCCGACTACATCACGCCTTCCACCCTAACCGTGATGTTCACAGCTACTTCTATCCTGTCACCACCTCCCCCTCCCCCTCCGCCTCCAACACGACCTTTCCTACCTTCGCCATCACCTCCATCATCTTCTCCACCGCTTCCATGCAGGGATCCATAAAGTTTATGAAGGGCCTAAGTAACACAAATTCTGCCATTGATTTCCTATTTCAGAGGCAAAAGGTTTTCCCCGCAAAAGCCTGGACGCTTAAGGACTCTGTAGCGGTTCAGAGACGAATAAGTCCTTTGAAAGGATCAAATTCATTTCTGAATTTGGAGAAACTGAGGTACACCCTAGGCCTTTGCCTGAAATGTACATAATCTGATTCTATACTGTGGGCATTAAAAGATAAAAACAAGACAAAACCTACAAACTTGGTTAGGTATATGGAAGTGCTTGGTGAGTGTGAAAACATAAGATTTTTCATAATGACGGGAAACAAGAGTTTCACCTCCCCAGAGCCTTTCCACATTACCTAACTGAAATGTATTGATTCCTGTCTTCAGTATGTGTGCATTGAACATCCTCTGTGTCAGGCACCAACTGGCTCATGAAACAATTCAAATCAGACCTTCATACAAGTTTTATAGTTTTAGTGAGCACCTAACATGCACCAGGAGTTCTGCTGGGTGCAGGCCCCCAGATATCCAGAAACCTACCCACCTTCCAATAATGTATTAATAAGGAGACAGAGGTCAGAGGATTAAGTTGTCACCCCAGTGAGAACCTGGGGAAGTCTCTTCTCTACTTCTTTGGACTTTGGCAACACATCTGGCCAAAAAGTAATGGGGTGAGTTATCCAGGGCAGTGTTTCTCCAGATGTATAAACAGATCACCTGGAGGTCTTGTTAAAATGCAGGTTCTAGTTCAGTAGGACTGGGGAGGGGCCTGGGATTCTGTATTCTTAAGAAGCCTCTGAGTGCTGCTGTTGCTGGGCTCCACAGATGATGCTCAGAGAAGTGTTTCATCTGTGCAATGAAAACATATGGTTGTCTGGGACTGCCTGGACCAAATGCTGGACCGAAGGCATCTAGGTTCAGGGAGGACAGCCAAGGCTGCGAAATGTCTCGTGGCCATTTGGAATTCTGCCTCCTCACAAGCTCCCAGCACAGCTGGTCAAAGTCACAAAAATTCTAGCCTCTGCCACCTTCAGTCCCAGAAAACCAAAGTGATCCCAAACAATAGTCTGAACCTCTGTCCCAGGCCTTTATTTCTGTGGACAGCACATATTTTTTGAAGACCTACTAAGTGCTGGGTTCTTTATTAGATGCCAGGGCTGCAGCGGTAAGCAGAGCAGACACAGCCCCTGCCCTGGAGTCATCACCCTGGCATGGGGCCATTTCTGGGCCTCTTGTCCCCAAATGAGGGACAGGAAGGGATGGTGGTGGTGCGGGGGGATATGTTCCATGTCCCTCCCACATAGTAGATACATTGGCTGAATCGCCTGAATGAATTGAGATGCCCCAGCCCCACACCCTCCCACAGAGTGCTGGGGTTGCTGCGAGCCTACACCCTGGCACGTAGTGGGCTCACAACCAAACTACTAAATGACCAAGCCACACCTTGAGCTGGGTCCTGGAGATGCAGACATGGGACAGCCAGGGCAAGAACAGTCAGGAAAGCTCATGTGAACTCTTAGTTTACTCGGTTTCCTCAAATGTAAAATGGGAAGAATTTTGATACCAGCTTCATAAAGTTGTGGTGAGGCTTAAACGAGTAAATATGCAGGTACAGAGCTTAACACCTTGCCAGGCACACAGTAGGTGCTCTATAAGTATTGGCTGCCAGTTATAGATGAGAGACATGACCCTTGCCCTCAGCCTTCAATAGCTGATGGAAGGAAGCCCTTGGTATGGCTTTCAAAGCACGCCTCACCCCAACCTTCTGTGCCTCTTATCAGATGTTGCCACCCTCTATTTCCCTGCCTTGCCAAACCCCTCACGGCTCTTCCATTAGGCCATGCCTTTTCACACATCTAAGTCTCTGCCCAAGCTACTCCCTCCATCTGAAAGGCCTTTTTTTTTTTTTTGCTGGAACCCTCTCCACTCAGGGGCCACCTCTTGAGTTCCCACAAGCTCCTGTCCCCATCCCAGCACTTGTCCGGGGAAGCAGAACTGCCTATGTTTGCGTGGCCAATCCAACGGGTGCTCAAGGGTGAAGGCTTGAGTCATCCATGTCACCCAGCACCAGGCCTGGTCCCAGCGAGGTGCTGGCTGGTGAGCGCTGAGTGGACAAAGGCTCCTCATCTACCAGGTCTCCCTTTCAATGTCACCTCCTCAGGGAGACCTTCCTTGATCACCTGTTCTCTACTCCAGAGGTTCTCAAACTAGCTTGCATCGGAAGGACCTGAAGGATTTGTTAAACATGGGATTTCTGATTCAGTTAAGTCTGGGGCGGTCCCTGAGAATTTGCATTTTTAAAAATTACTCTGCCCCACGACCCTGTTTTATCTCCCTCAAGGCACCCATCGCTCTCTGAAACGATGTTTATTGCTTATTTGTCTTGTGTCTCCACTGACATCCCATTTAAGCTCCACTAGGGCAAGAATTTGGGGCTGTCTTGTTCTGCGCTCAGCACGGTGCTGGGCCCAGGACTGAATGAACGCCCGAGGTTGAAAATAAAGTGATAATAAAGACGGTCCGCTGGGCGAAGGGACCAGGAAGTCCCCAGAAGCCCAACTCGCCAGCTTCACCCCGCCCCTCCCACCCTCGTGCCTTGAACCTCGTGCAGCTCCCCGAGTCCCCGCGGCCATGGCCCCTTTAAATGTGCGCGGGGACGCCTCGCCCCTCGGCTCCCTCGATCCCTGACAGAGCAGAAAGGGGAGAGAAAAAAAAAAAAGTCTTCCTCTCCGGGAGCGGGAGGAAACGTCTAGGAGGGGGCGGAGGGGCAGCGGCGGCAACGGCGGCACGGGCAGCGGCGCGGAGACCAGAGCGCAGCGCGCGCGGAGCTGGGAGCCAGGAGCGGACGCAACACCGCGCGCTGTCCCGGCCGCTGCCCCCGGCCCCGCCCCCGGAGGCTCGCGCCCTGCGCCCCCTGGCCCTGCGCGCCGCGCGGAGTCCTGAGGGAACGCGACGCCGCGCGCCCTGCGTTCGCGCCCCTTCCCCTCCCTGCCCCCGCCCAGCCCCGCCCAGCCCCGGAGGCTCGCACCCTCCAAGCCCCCACTTGCCCTGCGCGCTGCGCGAAGTCCGGCGCGCGCCGGGGGCGGGGCAGGCGCCACGGGGTGCGGGCCCCGCGGGGCGGCCATGGAGTGAGGCGGCGCGCGGACTCGTGCTCGGAAGGACGGACGCACCGACGGGCGGTCCCTGGCTCCGCGCGCTGGAAGATGAACAGAGCAGGTAGGAGGCTCCGCGCGACCTCAGGCGCCGAGGGACGCGCGCGAGGGGCCCCCGCCAGGCGCTCCAAGTTGTAGCCCGCGGGGCGCCGGGAGCGAGCTGCCGAGAAACCCCCGACCTTCCCACTCTGCTCTGCCTCGGCCGAGGTATGGGCGGGTCACGAGTGCCCTCGCCGAGGAGGACGAGAACATCGGGGGCCGCTGCCCCTGTCCGAGACGCCCAGCCTCGGGGACGCACCCTCGGTCTCGGCGAGGCCGCACCCTGGCCACGTACGGCCGTATCCCGCTCCCACCGCGGTCCCGGTATTGAGGGTCCCCTCGCAGCGGGGAATGACGCTCCGTTCGCAAAGGCGACTTGGTCGCGACCCTAAATTCTCACTCCTGCTCCTCGGGGTCCCCGCCAGGCCCTCGCTGGCCCCTCAGAGGCCCCTTCTGGCCCACGGGAACCGTCTGAGGTCTTCCCCACTGCGGGGTCTATTCCTGGTCCCTCGCTACTCCGAGGCGCGCCCTTAGCGGATTCTTGCTCCCTTCTCTCTTCTAGACGCCCAGACTGGGAGCTCGCTCTCCGAAGGAACTAAAAAGCCCTAGATTATCACACACACACACACACACCCGCAGCGCACCCCAACCTCCTGCAGTGCTGTGGCCCGGGGCCTTCTTTGTGCCTCCCCCAGGGGACCGAACGCCTAGGGGACGCCAAGGCTGAGCCGCACTCCAGGCGTTCCCTCCCAAGCCCTTGCTTCTCTGCTCTACATATCTGCCTTTGCTAGGCCAGGGATTCCGTGAAATCCAGAACGCGTTTGACAGTAGATAATGATCCCTCCAGAGGAGTGCCATTTAACAGGTTTATTAACTGAGAGTCAGAGATGGGCGGTGCCTGGAACCCAGTTCTCGGGTTCCTGACTCCTCCGCGGGGAGGGCAGAAAGTTTCCTCCTAGAGGTGAGTTTGCAAGGCAGCAGCCCCAGCTAACTTCATTTGCCTGACAAGGAGCGATTACTGCTCTTTTAATATTTTTCTCTTAGAATTTAGCAGAAGGCAGCTCTCTCTCCGACCAACACCCTTGTCCGAATCCGTACTCCAAAACACACATCCCTGAAGAAACAGGAAGCCACCATTTTGGCTGTCTTAGAACCATATCCTGCTGCCCTGAGTATGTGTAAAAAGTGTGTGTTTGTGTGTGTGTTGTGGGCTTTTTCTTTGTATAATCTTTTTGATGAAAAAAGTCATTGTCTTAGGAGTGAGGTGCAGATGGGAGACGTTTGGCTGGATTGATCTGACAAAGGAGAGACTTGGGGGCCTGGGAGTGTGGTAGCCACCTCCCTGTGTCCAGGCCCTGTTTTGCTGGGCGTGTACGCACCTGGACAGTGAGTGAGTGTTGGTCGCAGGGTAGGAGGTGGGAGTGGGAGCAGGGATTCCCCTTTTGAGTAGTGGAAAAGGCTGGGGCAGGGTCTCAGCGCCCAGCAAGCCACTCCTTGTAGGAAGGAGGTGGACTGCTGCCTGATCTGGCACAGCCTGGACAGAGCCAGGCTAGCTCTTTCCTACACTCCTAATAAAACTCGCTTAAAACAATGGTGAGAGCCGATCCGGTATTCCCACGTTTCCCTGCATGAGGCTTGGGCAAGCCCTCCCTTCTCTGAGAATCTGGGGGATGGAGTGAGCCGGAATACACGTAAAGGCAGGTTTGGTCCCAGGAAATCTGCCATCCAGTCATTTGCCTCCAGCATAAACCTGGTTACTTTTGCAGTGTGACGGCAGTCCTAGACCTCATATAATGATTTCTGTGTGCCAGGCTCTGAAGTTCCCGATCATGCAGCATAGTGGTTCATAGACTCCATGGGACTGAATCTCGTAACCACCATCCTCTTAGTTATTGTGACACAGCCAGTGTGTGGCAGAGCTGGGGTTGGAGTCCAGGTCTGTCTGAGCTGGGGACCCATGCTCTTCCCGCGCTGTTGTGCATCACTGGACTAGCCTAACAGCAGCCTAATTAGAAATCATCAGGCTTCGCTGGGACATTCCAGCAGGCACCCAGCAATGAAAGTTAAATTAAGATGCAATTGGAAGGTGAAATTGGAAGATAATTACTCTTGGAACATACGGTTATGAGAGTTCCAGGGGGAGTATGGTGAACTGCAGTTGAAACAGACACAGGGGCTGAAGATGGGAATGTCAGGGGACGTCATCAGAAAAGCCATGAGTTTAAAAGGCTGTTGTCGGCCAGAGCAAGCAGAAGGCACTTACTGACTGGTTGGTTCAGTCCCCTCACTCTGCACATGTGGAAACTGAGGCTCAAAGAGGGGAGGGGACTTGCCCAAGGTCTCCCCTTCAGTTAAAGGCAGAGCCAGGAGTGGAGATCAGAGCTCTGACTCCCAGTCCAGTGCCCCTCTCGGTACCTCTTCTGATTTAAACTCTGCAGAGCCGGCAAGGGAACAGCAACATGGATGTGTGAGTGGCAGATATTTAATTAAAATAGAGAGAGAAAATATAAACTGGTACCAGGGGCCTGGCTGGGGATGATTTCTATCACCAGAAGCTCTTAAAAATCTCTTCCTCCTGTCACTGTGACTCCCCACCCCCAGTTAACTCTTGGCCTCTTGGCTCAAAGGGTATTCTGCATTCGAGTCATCCTCAGGTGTAGCAAATTGCCAGGAGGTTTTGGGAGTTGGTACCTCAGGGTGGGGAGGCTGTGCCCCCCCAGGCTCTGTGTTACAGAGAGAGAGAAGGTTCATGCAGCAGCCAGAGGGTCCAGCAGTTCCGTCCATGCTGGGTTCTGGACATTCAGAAAGTTAAGCTCAGCCCAGAGGAGGAAAGCCCTGCTCTGATTTATCCTGTAATTGCCCCATCCCTGCCATTCTCTAAAGCTCAGCCAAACTGGACTCTTTACTCCCAAAGGGCTTGCATCTAACTGTCTCTGGGCCTCTGCACATTCTGTTCCTTCTGCCTGGAACACCCAACCTCTTGTTTTAAAATGTTTTTAATTTAATTTTTATTTTATATTGGAGTATAGTTGATTTACAGCGTTGTGTTAGTTTCAGGTGTACAGCAAGGCAGTTCAGTTATACAATATATATGTATCTATTCTTTTTCAGATTCTTTTCCCATATAGGTTATTGCAGAATATTGAGTAGAGTTTCCTGTGCTATACAGTAGGTCCTTGTTGGTTATATATAGTAGTGTGTATATGCTTATCCCAAACTCCTAATTTATTTTTTCCCCCACCTTTCCCCTTTAGTAACCTTAAATTTGTTTTCTGTGAGTCTGTTTCTGTTTTGTAAATAAGTTCATTTGTATCATTTTTTTTGGATTCCACATATAAATGATATCATACAATATTTGTCTTTCCCTGTCCTACTTACTTCACTTGGTATGATCATGTCTAGGTCCATCCATGTTGCTGCAAATGGCATTATTTCATTATTTTTCGTGGCTGAGTAATAATCCATTGTATACATGTACCACGTCTTCTTTATCTATTCCTCTGTTGATGGACATTTTGGTTGCTTCCATGTCTTGGCTATTGTAAATAGTGCTGCAGTGAACGTCGGGGTGCATGTATCTTTTCAAATTAGGTTTTCTCTGGATATATGCTGAGGAAGTGGGATTGCTGGATCATATCCAACCTCTTTTTTGATTATTAAAATCCTCCCTGTCCTTCAGCATGCACCCTGGTGCTATCTGTCCCCTGGGTCTTCTCTGGGCAGAACTGGTCTGAGACCCTTGTACTGAGGGCAGGGGCTCTATGTGGTTCCTCTTTGTGAGGGAAGCAGGGAGGGAGCAGACCTAGAAGCTCTCACACTCTTCATTTTCTCTCCTCCCTCTTCTGTCTCTCTTGCTGGCTCCTTCTCATAACCTTTGGGCCACTGGGGCTCCCTCCTGGGCCCTGCTCTTGTCTCTGCCCCCGCTCAGTCACTTGGTGGGCTCACCCGGCTCATGCCTTAATCCTGTCTCTGTGATGGCTGCCTCCAGGCCTCTCCCGGGAACCCAGGCTGGTCCATCCGAGAGCCCACTGACAGTACCTCCCGGGGCTGTGATAGGCAACTCAGATGTTACACGTGCCAATCGAAATTCTGGTTTCCTCCCCTGGCACCTGCAGCCTTCCCCAGTTCAGTTGGTAACAAATTCACTTTTCTGGTTGCTGTGACTCAAAACCTTCGTGTTGTCCTTTATTATTCTTTCTCTTACATCCCAAATCCAAACTGTCTGTAAATCCCACCAGCTGTACCTTCATATTTGGAATCTGACCTTTTCTTTCTTTCTTTTTTTTTTTTTACCACTTCCACTGCTACAGCCTGGTCCAGGCCTCCATCTTCTCTGGCCTGGATTATCGCAGGCGCCTCCTGCCTGCTCTCCCTCCTTCCATCCTCACCACTTCTAGTTTGTTCATCACACTAGCTGGAGTGTGCATGGCCTTCTGCTCAAGGCTAAGCAGCATCTACACAGTGTTTTGTTTATTGATGTATCTAAAGAGTCTAGATGAGTGTCTGGCAAATAGTAGGTGCTCGATAAATACCTATTTAATGGATTAAAAAAAAGTGGATAGGAGCAAAGGAAAGCCAGTCATTCACTTTATGGTCACAGTTAGTCCTTCTAACTCAGCCTTATGTGAATTTCTCACCTGGTTAGTGGTCCCTGGTCTCCCTGGCCTCAGTTTTCCTGCGTTTTGCCCTTCTCTGCTGGGAGCCCTGAGTCTGCACTGTAGAAGAAATGCTCAGTGGCAGAAAGGTGAAGGCAGAGGTTCAAGGGAGTGGACCAGGAAGCAAGAAACCCCCAATTCTGGGACTTCCCTCGTGGTCCAGTGGTTAGGACTCCACGCTCCCAGTGCAGGGGGCCTGGCTTCGACCCCGGGTTGGGAACTAGATCCCACATGCCACAACTAAAGATCCCGCATGCCACAAGGAAGATCTTGCATGCTGCAACTAAGACCCGGCGCAGCCAAATAAATAAGTATATATTTTAAAAATCCTATTATTAAAAAAAAAAAAAAACCATTCTACCGGGGCCCTGCTCTGGACTCGCTGAGTATTCCAGGCCAGTCACCCACCCTTTCTGTGCCTCAGTTTCCTCATCTTTCAATGAGGTGTCAGATGAGGCCTTTCTGACTCTGGCATCCTTTGATCTCAGAGAGGATGTGGATGAAACGCCCTGAGCTCTAGAGCTGGAAGCAGGGCATGGACACTGTGTACCTGTCACTCCTTAGGGGCTCCTGTGGGGAAGGCATTTTCTTTCAGGATCACGCCTCAGACACCCACTGTAATCTTTTCTGAGGAGATGGCGCCCACAGATCAATAGCTTGATTGGATGAAGGATGGGGGTGGTGGGAGCGATGCAGCCTAGGTGACGGTCATTTTCCATGACCTCTGTCAGGTCTCGTGGTGCCCATGTGAAATACCACCTGTTAAGGATGAGAAGTGAGAGTCCCCACCCCCAAAGAATAATTTCATGCCAATGCCTGACACCTGATGTTGAGAGCGTGAAGCTCGTATTACATCATATATCTGTTTAGAGCAAGACTTATACCAGGGAAAGATGTGGGGTAGGGAAGGACTGACTTTATTAGAACAATAATAGCTACTGCTTATTGAGAACACCTGTCTATGCAAAGGCCTGCTAATATATATCTTTTAATCTTCATAACAACCTCTTCATAATAGGTGTTACTGTTGAACCCATTTTACAGATGAGGAATCTGAGAGTCAGTTTCATAGCTTATATGTGGCAACGGCGGAATTTGAACCCAGACCACCAGGCTCCAAAGGCTTATTATTACCCTGTTACTCCACATTGACAGGTAGCTCTTTAAGCTCCAAATATTCGAGTTTGTTTTAAACTAAATTGGACAGAAATTTTTCTAAATTAGGATATATTTGATTGCGTATGGAAACAAAAAGTTGGGAAGTCACTTCTTTTATCTTGAAGACTCTGGGTTATTATCCGGATGCCAGTGGCTGGCCTGGGCGTTGGTGCGGATGAATGTAGGTGTGGGTTAGGGCGTTTATGCAGTGGTTGCTTTAGCCTTTAAAGTCTTGACAGCTGTGCCTCTTCTCTCCATTTCTTGCTGTTTGCTACCACATCTTACAACTGGCAGTGTTGCTGCTCTCCCTGCACCTCCACCCCCCACTAATTAGCTGTGTCCTGGGAAACCATACAACTAAGTTCAGTAGATTTATGAGCAATGTACAGAGGGTCTGGAATCAGGCCCTTCCAGGACCAGAGTGCATGGGCTTTATAACCCTATATTATTGCTGTCCTGGGCCTTTTTTATTTCCTTTGGGGCTCCTCAGCTGAATTTTGCATAGCTGTGCCAGTTTGGGGGGGATGATACTGACTTTGGCCTCAGATATACTGAAATTGAGGGGCCAGTGGGACAGTCCCATGGAGATGGGTTAAAATCAGTTAGAGCTGTGCTAGCTGGCCCCATAGCCACCACCCTCGCGTGGCCACTGAACACTTGCAGTGTGGCTGGTCTGAATTGTGATGTGTTGCAAGTGTGAAATATACCTTAGATTTCGAGGACTTAGGACAAACAAGAGTGTCAGATACCTTGTTAATGACTTTTGTGTATTGATTACATGTTGATGCAAACATGATTCATTGATCACATGATAATGTCCAAAATGATAATATTTGAGATATATTGAGTTGAAAAATGTACTGTTAAAATTAATTTCACCTGTTTCTTTTTGACTCTTTAATGTGGCTATGAGAAAATTAAAAATTACGTGTGTGATGATAAATGGGGCTCACGTTTATATTTGTCAGACAGCCCTGGATTAGAGATGACCAGGGTTAGATGCTGCAAGGATTGAGCTGGGAGTCAAATGTGTGGGGAGGAGGAGAGTTTGCTGACAGACCTCCAGACCCTGTGCTCAGTCTTCCTTCTGTCACAAGCCGGGCTGGCATGCTGGGGCTGCTTTGTATCACACCCAAGGCTTAGTGGGGATGGAACTGGGAGTTGAGACTGGACTGAAGGGGGGACCTGTACATCCTAAACCTGGGCAGTGAACAGCCAGGCAGTGCTTTTGAAGTGAAGTTGGCAGGATGGAGTTGCATTTCATGAAAATCTGCATTCCTCACACTGCCTGCAGTGTGGACAGGGGCTCGGAGGCACGGCAGGAGGTGTGAAGGCATGGGCTGGCTGTGGCAGGAGAGGTGCTGAACTTGGAAGTGGGCGACTCCTCCCTTACTCCTTCCGCTTGTCCAGGTCCCTCCAGTCCTGCAAAAGTGAGCTGAAATTTCACCTTCTCCGAGAGGTCTTCCCTAGCCATGGCAACTCGTGCTTCCCTAACTCCTGTCACACGTGCATGTTGTGCGACATCTTTTATTCTGCCATGGCTGATAGATCCTCAACATCCACAGGGGGTAAGGCCTTTTGCAAATATCCCATGTTGGAAAATACCATATAATTTCTCCTGTGAAATTTGGAGGCAGGGCAGTTAGCTGGAAACCAGTCTTGAAGCATGTAGAATTCAGAGGTGACCCTCAGAAGAATCATATGCCACCATCCCAAGCCTGTGGTGTATCATTCTGGAGGGAGGGAGATATTCAGTCATCATATTCCAAGGGTCTGTGGCTCAGTCCTCCACTTGTTCTGTTAGTCTTGTCTCCCTGATTCAATTGTGAGTCTTCAGCAGAGGTGTTCTTCTCTTCTTGGTCCTAGAAGCCTCTGCCATCTGCAGTGCTGCGTATATAGATAGAAGAATGAATGAATGGTGGAATGACTGTGGGCTCCACGAGGGCAGCAGGGATCTGACTGTTGGGACCAGCAGTGCCTCATGGGCCGGTGCACATCGAAAGCATTTACTGCGTCGTTGTTGAGTGGATGAGTGCAACGACCTGGACACCTTTATTTGAGGAGCACAGGGTGTCATTCAGTTGGGCTCTGTTAGCTGGCCTGTGCATAGAAGAAAGATCTCTTCACCTTGTTTACAGAATGAATCTTTATTGGAAGGTCGAGGGATTTTAAAGATGTTGGTGGAGGGTGTAAACCTGACAGAACATGGTAGATTGGGTTCACGTGGGTTGGGAAACCATCTTCGGTGTTCTCTTGTGAATGGTAAGTAGGAGACTCTGAGTGGAAGGAAATAATGGTAACTGTACCTTCTCTCTCTCCTTTTCTTATTCTCATCCTTTAGATTCACCCAAACCACCAGTTGCTCCTAAGCCGAAGGCTGCCAGTCCCCTCACGCCAGTGACGGCACCCAAATTCTCCTCGTCACCCCGGCGCGAGTGTCTTCACAGTCCCAACTCCATGTCCAGGGGGCCGAAACCCCCCATCGCCCCAAAGCCCAGGCTGGCTACCCCCAGTGAGTGGAGGGCCAGCATCTACATGATCAACAGCTTGAACAAATGCAGCAATGGGAAGCTGCCCTGCGTAGACAGGGGGCTCTACGACGAGCACCGGTCCACCCCGGAATGCTCCGAGCCCGAGGCAGACGAGGATTACATCGTGGCCCCCGGGGCTCCGGCAGCAGAGGACAGACCCAGGGATGGGGGCTCCGTGGAGAATGCAGTCACGGTGCCTCCGGAGGCCAGCGGTGGGGAGGAGTGCCAAGAGAGAGGCAAGGAGTGTGAGCAGGAAGGGGCAGCAGCTGCAGAGGACTGGGCAGCCCCGGCTGAAGCGGTGCTGGGTGGAGAGGACGATGGAGGCGTCACCCCCACTCCTGAGAACATGGAGGTGGAGGACTGTGCCTGTGCCCCGGGGGCAGAGGAGCAGAAGTTCACAAGTGACGACGAGGAGAAGCAGGTGGAAGAACACAGCGTGTACAGCCTGGAGGACGGGGGTGCTGGGGATGGAGAGGCGGTCCTTCCAAGCGATATCATTCTAACTCACCTAGATGCAGAGGACCCAGCAGCTCGTGGTGAGGAGCCCAGGCCGCCTGTGACACCCGGGGAGTCAGAGGAGGATGGTGAGGAAGGCCGCACCAACACAGAACTGGGGGCATCAGACGAGTGTGTGGGCTCTGACGGGCCCCCTGAGCGGGACGCTGCCGATGGCAGCGAGGAGCCCCCAGAGAACGAGGGGTTGGCCCCTGGTGTCCCGGAGGCGGAGGTGGCCACAGACAGCCCTGACATCTCCCAGGAGGCGTGTGAAGATGCCCCAGGAGGTGGCCAGGATGGTCAGGATGAGCCAGCTGATCAGAAAGAGAAACCTGACCCAGAAGCAACAGCAGTGGTCACCCAGGAGGCAGGAGGGGACCCTCAAGAAGGTGAGGACCCTGTGCAGGATGAAGGAGCTGAGGAGAGCTGCCAGATCATTCCTTTCGAGAGGGACTGTGTGGACGACTTTGTGGCTCCACTCTCAGGACGTCCCTACGAGTTCTTCCCAAGCGAGAGCACCTCTTTCTGTAGCGAGAGCTGCTCTCCTTATTCCGAGTCAGCACAAAGCTTAGAGTCCGAGCAGGAGCCGCGGTCAGGGGAACGGGCGCAGCAGGACCCCGTGGCTGGGCCTGGATGTGGCCGGCGTGGCTCCCTGCAGGGTGGCGCCGGGGAGGGACCCTCTGTCCCTGACGTGGTGGTCATGCCAGAGGAGGAGGATGCCGTGGACGACGCGCTCGCCAACCCCTATGAGATGGGCGTTGGCCTGGCGTGCGGGGTGGACCCTGGGGAGGAGGAGAAGCCTGAGGCACAGGCTGCCTCGGGCACCGCGAATGGCTGTGGATTGAAGGAAGAGGTGAGCTCTGATGCGGAGGGCAGCCTGGTCCCCATCGACAGGAAGAATGTCACCACGAGGGCCAGGCCCCACTCCGGGAAGATGGCTGGCTACGTCCCAGAAACTGTCCCGGAAGAAACGGGACCGGAAGCTGGCTCATCAGCCATTGGCATTGGGGGTGTCACCAAGGAGGCGAGGAAGGCGGTCCTGTCATTGGAGGGGAAGCCGCTGGACGTCGGCAGGGCCTTGCCAGCAAAGCCCAGAGCCTTCACTCTGTACCCGCGATCGTTCTCCGTGGAAGGCCGAGAGATCCCCATGTCCCTGTGCCGGGAGCCCGAGGCGTGTGGCCTAGACGGCCACGGGATCAAGAGGAAGGACGACAACCTCTCTCTGCCCTGCGTGATTGGCTCCTCTGGCAGCTTCTCTCAGAGGGGCCACCTCCCATCCAGCGGCACCTCCACCCCGTCTTCCGTGGTTGACATCCCGCCCCCTTTTGACCTGGCCTGCATCACCAAAAAGCCCATCACAAAGAGCTCCCCCTCGCTCCTGGTGGAGAGTGAGCCCCCGGACAAGCACACCAAGAAGAAGAAGCCGTCCTTTAAGCGGTTCCTGGCGCTGACGTTTAAGAAGAAGACAGAGAGCAAGGTGCACGTGGACGTCAACGTGTCTTCGTCCAGGTCCTCCTCAGAGTCCAGCTACCATGGGCCGGCCCGGCTCCTGGAGATGGACCGGAGGAGCCTCAGCAACTCCCCGCAGCTCAGAGCAAGGACCGGCAAGCTCCGGGCTTGCGACTCGCCCTCCTCCCTCATCTTCTACAGGGACGGCAAGAGGAAGGGCGTCCCCTTCAGCAGGACGGTGTCCAGGGTGGAGTCCTTCGAGGACCGCTCCCGGCCTCCTTTTCTGCCCCTGCCCCTGACCAAGCCGCGCTCCATCTCGTTCCCCAACGCTGACACTTCGGACTACGAGAACATCCCGGCCATGAACTCGGACTATGAAAATATCCAGATTCCACCTCGGAGGCCCCCAAGGGCCGGGACGTTTACGAAGCTGTTTGAAGATCAGAGCAGAGCCCTGTCCACAGCAAACGAGAATGACGGCTATGTGGACATGAGCAGCTTCAACGCCTTCGAGAGCAAACAGCAGAGTGCAGACCAGGAGGCAGAAAGGTACCGTGAAATGACATTTCCTTTGCTGTTCGCCAGGTGTAACTATCCAAGAGGCAAGCTTAGGCGTAGGGGACAGAACGGACTTGCTTTTTAGCCTCAGGCTCTGTTTCTCTCTAGCTTTGTGGCTTGGGGTGAGTGGCTTCAGTTACTTCATCTGGGAAATGGATTTGTGCTACCTCTAGGCAGAGTGTTTGAAAAGATGAGAGTACCTAATCTGTTTGAAAATATTTGGCTAAGATGCCAAATATAGTGCCCATGTGAGTGTATGTATTTCTATTATTTGGGGTACATTTCTCATCTCCTAGGTAGATGGCTTTACTAGTCCCTTCTGGGAAAGTCACCAAAAGAGAAGGTTCTGGAATCCTGTCAAACTAAACATCTTTCACCATCAGGAAAATACCCTAAATTGAGATTGAGACCTTTTTATTGTGTCAATATATACTCTGTTCAAAGGAACTAGAAAAGACAATTTATTTAAATTGTTTAAAGAGCTAAGGGTGCCCTGAGCTAAATTTCTGAATAGAGGTCTTTAAGAGGTACGTCCAGGCTGATTTTTTTTTTTTTTTTTTTTTTTTTGGACTCAGTCACCTTGGAAGTGAGCGTGAAACACTGCAATTATTGACAACAGTGGCGGTTTTCTGACCCCACCTTCCCGAGACTGACTGAATGTCCTGTTGACCATCCCAGGTGGATAATTGCCAAATCTTGCTGTTTTTTATGCACCATGGATGCAACTTAAAGGCACTGCGATTCAGCCTCAACCATTTACACGCTTGGGGGCACCTGATCTGAATTAATGAAAAGTCAGAATGGTGGTGATTTTAAAGGAAACCCTGATTCTTTCCCCTCATGTGCAGAAACTCATCGCAGCTGGGCATGGCTGTTGGTGCTCGGAATTCCCAGGGGACCTGCAGTAATGAATAGATAAGAATGATTTGCAATTAGCATTAGCTTTCTCTGGAGTGTAGACACTAGAAGTGTTTGTGTGGTTTATTCTCCTGAATTTTTCACGTGGTTCCCCACACTGGCTCCATCTTCTCCCTGCCCCAAGTCTGGGTAAGGCTATGAATTGGTTCTTCCTAGGTTTGTTTGCCAGAGCAAAGGTAGACATCAGTGCCACCGGAGGGATCCAATTTAATTTGGAGAATGTGGATGTGTGCGAACTTTAAGAGGGTGGGAGCCGGAGAGCAGACAAGTTCATTGCGTTAATAGTTATCAGCGGGGTTTGACAAGACCCAACCCTAGCTGAATGCCTCCAGCACTAATGAAAATAGAACCAGGCTTTGAAACCATGAAATCTCCATGCTGGGAAGGACCTCAAAGAGCGTACGGTCAAACCTCCCATGTCTGATAGGTCCCTCTCTTAACTGGGTCTGTGCTTGAATTCCTCAAGCCACAGGGAACTCACCACCTCCCAGAGGTGCCTCGTCTGTTGCTAGGTACTCTGATTAAGTTTTTCTTTCTGCCTGAGGCAAAAGCTATCTCTCCCTAATGTCCCTATCCCACTGAGACAGAAGCTATTCTCTCTAATATCCCTACACCACTCATGCTGGCTCTTTCCCCTCAAGCCAGGCAGCTGAGCTCATTTCCTCTTTTGTATGACTGTCCTTCGGAAATTGAAACCTGCTTCTGTTGAATCACAGAATTTCATAGCTGGAAGGGAACTTCAGCCAATATTTGGTCCCGTTACAGAGGAGGAAACTGAGGCACAGAGAGGGAAAGAGACTTGCCTAAAATCTCTAAGCAATTTAGTGGAGAAATCAGTGTCAGGACTCAGATTTCCTGACTCTTGGTTCAGGAATTTGTAGTGCATTATGCTGAAGGATGCCAGGTCTGGTTGTTCAGGCTGCCCACTGCACAACCCCAGGGTCCCACTCACCTTTTCGTCTAATATGCTGCCCCTGGGGTTGTGCAGTGCACAGGCTACTTGGCCATATGCAAAGGCCTTGTTGCCTTGATCTGTACTTAGTCCAAAAAACAAAAAAGCTCCCTTCATCCAAACTATAATGACATTAAGGGAATAAAATACCCAAGAAAATGCTAATACTTACCGTATCCTGACTGCTTACTGTGCCAGGCACCGTGCTAGTGCTTTCCCTGTATTATCTCACATTTGGTGCTACAGCCTAGGGCCTTGGCCTAGGGTCTGACTCAACCGTCAGACTCTGAATTTCAAAAGCACTGTTGCCCCACTCTGAATTTATTTCCCTGAAGGTCAGACTGACTGGGATGAATCTCCCGTGCAGGAACCACATCCTCTTGGATATCAATCAGTGAGCAAAGCTTTCTTCCGCTTCCCTGCATGAAACAGATGGAAGCAGAGGGAGAGAGACATCCCCACCCTGGGCGGGAACACGTCTGGGCAAGGGCGGCTTCAGATACACAAAATTGAGAGGCAGGGGGAACTGCCACGGGGTGAGGAGCCATGCTTCTTCGCCTGAATAAGGGCTTTGAGAACCGAGCGGAGGGGTGCCGCTGACCTGAGACACGTGCCCAGGGGTGCTTGGGGTTGGACAGGACAGGACGAGAGGGTGGGAGACAGTTCCTTCCTCCTTCCGCTGCCTGTCCTGCCCCAGACCTTGCTTCAGTGTGAAGATCAGAGGCAGAAGCCAAAATAAATACTGACAGTCCTGAAAGAGCGCAGAACAGTGCTGCAGGACGTGCGGGTTCAGAGCCCACCCCATCACTGACTTGCTGTGGGATCCTGGAGGAGGCTGGGCCCCGGTCGCTTCTCTGTAAAACGGTAGGATTGGAGCCCATCTGTACTTCTCAACCACCTGCGCTATCACTCACTGCTTTTCTTTAAATCAGTCCATGTTTTTTACTTTAAAAATATTTAAAAAGGAAATTTTGTGCCACTGTTGGGAAATGGAAAAGCAGTATTAGGTGTCATAAATAGAAGAAGGCAATTGTAAAAGTAGGATACAAAGAGAAATTAAAATAGCACGGGTAAAGTCTAGCTTGAGGTTATTAATTGCCAAGGCTGTGAGCGGGAGGTTGGTCCCTTTGTTAAACAGGGAGAGGTGTTAAAGGCATCCTGGCACCACACGGAGACTTTCTACTTGGCATAATCAGAAGGATTCAGGTGGATTGAGAAGGGAATAACTCTCTCGTGGTGTGATTCAATGTTATTTAAATCCAAGTCCTTTTTCCGCTGACAGTGCCTCCCTTCAAGAAATGTTTTGAGTATGTAATAGAATTCCGAGAGCCCTTAGAGATCCCTAAATCTGAGCAGCAGCTCCGGGTCTGATGGATGATTATAAAGTTTCTTCCACACAGTTACTTCCTTTGAGATTTGTATACACAGATAATAGCATTTTCGAAGCTACAACAATATTCTTATTAACCGTTTTCTATCTCATAAAATAAAAGCGTATACATTGTTACCTATGTACAGTCCTCACTCCCCCACCCCCGTATGTAAAAGAGGTTTCGTTATCCTTTGGTTTAAAGTGTATCCCCAAAGCATTCTTTTTTTTCCTGAATTGACTCTCATACGCACAAAAAATGTTTTCAGTCCAACACTCATCCTTTTCAAATAGGGTGTTTTATGTCCTCAGTCAGGACTCTTGGTTGGGGAACCCAGTCTTTACTTCTGAATATCCCGCAGGACCTCAGTATGTTGGTTATGCACTAGGAGCTTAATAAATGCATGTCGATGAGTCAGTGATTTTGAGCTTCACTGGGGGAAAGAACTATCATTTATTAAGTATACTCTGAAACACAGTTTGGGGTGCTTTGTGTACGCTTATTCAATATCCATTTGATGCACCATTTGATGCACCACAAACACCACACACTGGTTTGTCCTGAGTGTCTCATTTAAATCCCCATAATTGTAAGTTTGCTTTTTGCATGATGATGAGTCCCCTTTAATCACTCAGTGTTATACCTCAACACAGATCGCTACCTCAACACAGATCCCCGAGGCCCCTTTTCCCCATTTCATCATGAAAACTTTCAGACTTACGGGAAAGTAGAAAGAGTTTAACAGTGAATGTCCATACGCCCACCTCCTAGATTTTACATTAACGTACTGCTGCACTGGCTTTTTCTCATCCCTTTCCAGCGCCCTCTCCAACTCTTGATGCATATTGTTGCTGATGCATTTCTGGTGGCTTATGTTTACAGATGAGGACACAGCAGCCCAGGGAGAGCCTGTGAGGGCACGGTGGCTAAGCGTGCAGGCTCCTGCCAAGCTGCGTGGCTTTCAGTCTGCCCTCCACCACTTCCTGTGACTTACCTCTCTGTGCCGCAGTTTCTTTACCTGTAAAAGGCGATGATAGTAGTACTGGCCTCACAATGTCATTAAGACGAAATGAATTAATGCAGCACAGAGTGAAATGTTCACTAGGCACTAGCTGTTATCGAGTGACATGATCAAGGTCACACGGCAGTGGATGCAGGTGGGGAATCGGGTCCCTTTCACTGAGGGAGTATCTCTCTGTCTCTCTCACATACGACTGTTCTGCATGTGTTTGACTCAATGTTCAGGACCTCCCATCCATAAACCAGGACCAGGGGTGAGCTTCGGTGGTGGCGTGTGGTGTCAGCACTGCCTCTGCCTTCTGCGTGAGATGGAGTTGGGGCTGCAGGCAACAGCCTAAGCAGCCTTGAATCGGACCCAGGACCAGGGCTTTTTGATTCCGTAATCTCGCTAGCAGAGGTGCCTACTCTGTGACTCTGACTGTAGCTATTATTTCACTTGTAACTCAGGATTAGTTAGGCACCTTAGGAATTTCCAGTTCCTATTTTTCCAGATGAGAAAACTGAGGCCCAGGGAAGTGGTATACACCATCCTCTGTCACACAGGTAGTAAGTAGCCAAACCAAGCTTCAAACCCCAGTCTTTCTGCCTCTCGACCGAATGCTCTTTCCACGTCCTATTTTCTTTGGTTGAAAAATGCCACGTTAGCTGGTGGTCTCCATCCAACCGCTGTGAAGTGTCTTTGCTTGCAGGAGTTAGGCTGGGGTAGCCTTGCTTGTTGGTCCAGAGGAGAA